ATGTATAAGTTCTATTTGCACACGAGTAGCGCTCATGTAGCAATAGGTATCCCCGAACCCTCTTGGATCGATGAAATTTTTCGAGGATACTTTTCTTCGTCCAATCCAAAGCGCTGTTTCCTGTAATATCATTACACTCTGATGACTATGTATGTTTGTATATAAGACTAACGAAACATAAAATATTTTGACACAAACTAAAGAAAAGTTAGGCAAGCAACTAATATTGACCGCCCTAGTAGCAGTATATAGAAACTTTTTCATTCATTCTTTTGGAAGATCGTTTACAACAAAACCAAGGAAATTGTGAGAGAACATCGCCTTTAGACGAGCATCTTCCTATCCAATCCTAGATGGCGTCACTTCCCCACTCTAGGGCAACAATTCCATCAGAATGTTGGAGATAAATAAACCTATCAGACCGGTTTCGAGCCCAAGCTTGCTTATCTAGGCATCAAATGATTGCCCTTGGCAGTAAGTTGTGGTATAGGTACCTCGTCTATGTCGAGTGTCTTTATGCACAAATGTGGACTCTACCGACCTCACGTTTGTGTCCAAGGAGGAAAACCCCTATAAAAGCCAAACTGAATCACTCTCCAGGCTCTGTGAATATATCCACTAGCTACGGAAATGCATAGCTTAGAAGGGGAACAGTCAATGATGTGACCTCTCTAGATTCTTTGCAACTGAGCAAGTTTGTAATGAAGTTTAATGCCGTCTTTTTCCTCTTGCTAAACCGAGTCTACACTTAACCGATCACCCAAGACCACAGTTCCAAGACCTCCAACCAGAAGCTTATTTTTTGGCCAGAGCTGCATGGAAAATATGCACCGTGGTAAGGCTTTAGCGACGCGTTACATGTTATAGTCCAGTTACATGGAGGCTTCATGACTGACACACTTCAACTATTTCACAGAATGTTCCACCTGTAACCCACTTAACCTTCTTGTTGTCGGACTTTCGTCCGATTGTAGGCCCCATCCAAATCCTATTTTCTAAACTTGCTAGCCATTGGGTAATTTAGTTCTACTGAGTCAACATGAAAGAGTCATCTACTTTTACGCTCTGAGATTGGAAAGCTGTGCTGTCGATTGGAGAAGTTGCCTGCTATTCTTAAAGGGTATGAACACACAAAACTTTTTGTGTGGACTGACTACTTCAGTAGCAATTTGGTTAGAACGGATAATTTTTCCTTCTTATTTTTATTAATGACTCGTAATTTTTTCAGCCATTTCGGGACTTTTTCAGAATTTTTCTCGTGCTTTTTGAAATTCTTTCGGGATTTTGATAGTTTTTTCGAGATCTTTAAATACTTTTTCATGTGTTTTTTGATATTTTTTCGGTTAATTTTCCGGAAATCTTCATTTTGAAGAGCAAAATTACCCGATATTAATAGGATATTCGGATTTTATCCGTGTATGCGTATATCTGAATACACGGATAATCCCAGTCTTAATTAATACTGATAATTTTTTTTCTTATCTTTATTAATGATTCCGTCATTTGATCGGATAATTTCGAGACTTTTCCCGGATTTTTCGTGACTTTGTCGAGATTTCTCAAATACTTTCCGGAGTGTGTTGGATTTTTTTTCGTTTGTTTTGGTGTTTTTTCGCAATTCCGTGGAGCTTCCGGGATTTATCTCGGGATCTGTTTTTTTTTTTAACTTTTTTGGAGATTTTTTCAGGAATAATCAGGTCAAAAGTAGACTGAAATCTGAACTTTGGTTTCGATGAATACCGAGAAACTAAAAAGTATCCAACAACTGCCATTTGTTTCCTTAAAAACAAAAAAAAAATAAAAAATAATCGTTTTTTCCCCAAAATTCCATTTCAATTGGAAAATCCTTTTAATGCTAATGCTCATCAACAAGCCAGTTAAATTAATTACATAACTCATTTCCGTCAAGTGATTTCGCCTACAATTTCCTACTGTTTTATGGCAATTTGTTACACTGCTAAATCCCAGGTGTTCCGACCGACAAAATCTCGACACAAAGTCCTAACACAACCGCCTGTCTCTAACTGTGCTGACGACTGATGGTTGATGGCTGCTGGCGCTGCCACCAAATGCCAAGCACATGCCGATGTAAGGACACATACATATGTATCCTGTGACGTTTATAATTGCCGTGGTACACATTGATGGCACTGACACCTGCTGAGCGCGCACAAGTACGAATATTAGAAGTGGAAAGTGTCGCCGAAATGTATGAATGTGCGAGAGCACTTCATGTGAGTGTGTGTGTGTGTGTGATGTGTGTTTGTTTGGAAATGACATGGCTTGTGGCTAAGGGATTTGATTTGCAACAACAAATAGCATACCGCTGTGCATATGTGCTGCCGAGATTTACTAAAATTTTAATTATGCGCTTAGGAATTAGTTACTACAAGCACAGGACATGTGTGCAAGACAAGCGACGGGCAAAGGGAATTTACATTGCAACTTTAATCCTTTTGCAAATCTCTGTCGAGAGACAGGACAGACACAGCGGTACTGGGCGAATTTCATTAATTTAATCCTCTGTTGAAATTTCTATGCATCTCAGTGCTTTAAAAGCTGCAAATAAAATATTTCTCAATGCTGCTTAAAGGGTAGATGTCGTTAGAATTTTAAAACGCAAATCCTTGTTACATGCCACATGCAGGCGGATAATAAACGCAAATCCCGAATGTAGCCAATGAGCCAGTCAGTCAGTCAGCCAGCAGCCAGCCAGGTGAAAGAAATTCACACGTTTCTTGGTGAGCATGCATTGCTTCAGATATCCGTGCGTGTGTATTAATAATGCTTTGTTTAAACTTCATTCACACACACACACACCCGTACGCTTACAACAAAGCGCAGCTCAGACATCCTTAGCCGTACACATTCAATGCCTGCGTCTAAAACTTTTCCTCCCTTACGTCAGCGCTTGTTTAATATTTTTATTTTTATTTTTATTTATTTTTTTTTTTAGGGCAGAAATCGTTTCGCTTTTTATCCTTTGCTCTCCTCTCTGCCTTGCTGCATACTCAATAAGTGCTAGTTGGCATTCATTCTGCCATTGCTGACGTAAACAACCACCGTCGCACAGTGGTGCAATCCAAAACCTTTTTATGGAAAAAATTAGAAGCAGTCAGCGTAGAACCTCAATTTTCCGTATGCAGGAAAAAATCGAAAAATCCTATACAAACCTATACAAACCTAACCTGAAAAACGTGTTAAGCTAAAAGGCGGAGGAAGACCGAGGGAACCCAGTTTTTGACCACAAAAAGTGTCAAAGTTTGCATTTATAAAGCGTAATTTTTGTTTGCTTATATTTATTAAAATATTTTGTCGATTTCAATGATTTTTACTCTATATGGACAAGTAAATGCTATAC